GTGCGTGTGCGCCCGCGTACGGCGCCGACGCGTGCCTTGTCTTCGAGCGAGGGCGAGGACGATGCGGGCGGCGTAGACGAGGAAGATGAGTTCGTGGCGCCGAGCATGCGGCACTGGCGCAAACATGTGCTGCCGCCGGAGAGTCTGCGGCTACGTCCAGTCAGCGTAACGGCGCCGGCCTGTGCTTTTTGCGCCGCGGCCGCGCTCCCGCCCGACTGCCCGCTGCCCTGTGACCCGGGCGCCGAGTTGCTGCAGAATCCGCGGAGCCTTGATGCGCTCGTCGCCCTCGTCACGCGCACGGTCGCCGAGTTGCAACAGGGCCGCACCGTCCTCACCAACCGTCGCGGGGCCAAACTGCTCCTGACCGTTGCCAAGGAGGCCGGCTTCCTCCTCGCCAAACTTCCGCCCTGCCACGGCGTGCATGTCAACGGGCACGGCCACGGCGAGCAGGCCTACTGCCGCCAGACGGGCGACCTGGCCGAGGACGCGTTTCTGGGCGACCTGTTGGCGCACACACTCCGCCTCATCATCGTGTGCCTGACGGACAGCTGCAAGCGGTTGTCCACGTTGTCGTTCATGAACAACGCGCTCGCGCTGCCGCCGCTGCCGTACCGACGCGTGACGCTGTCGCTGATGGATCAGACGCCAGCGATGTGCCACGTGGCGACGTTGACGCCGGTGATGCCTACGTTGTCGGCGGCGTTACGCTCGCGTGCGCCGCAGTTGGTGTTTGCATCGAGTGTGAGCGAGTGGTTGTGCAGCGACACGAGCTGGTTGTTGGGTGCTTTGGCGCAGAAGAGTCATCCGAGTGTGCAAACGCGGCGGATGGTGACGCATTTGATTTTGTTGGCTGCTCGTTTCGCTAAGTGGTCGAGACTGAAGGCAGCGGCGCCGGCGCAGGAGATACCGGCAGAGCACAGCGCGTTGGGTGACCTGTACCGGGCGGGCGACAGTAGTTGTTTGGCTGGCTGCATGCCCCATCCGGGGCGCGAGCTCAAGTCGATAATTTGCGAGAAGGACCGCCGTTACGTGCTTTCGTCTGAGATCGTCGGCGAGGTGCTCAGCCGCCACGCTGCGGCAATGACCCTGGAGGAATACAAACACCATACTACCCCGCTCTGTCGGACTGTGGCGAATGCCGAGGGACAGGGATGCTGGGACGGCAGCATGCTCATGCGCTCATGTCTGCAGGGCGTGCTCGAGACCCCGTTCCCCGTCTGGCCGCCATCCGCGTGCGCGCAGGAGGAGCTGAGTGAGGAGGAGTTCGACTCGGGCGTTTTTCTGTCGGCGATGTTGCATATGCAGGCGCGACTGTACGGGTTGCAGAACGCCCTGGAAGTCCCGGCGACCATTTACAAGTTCCTCTACCTCTTTTCCAAGGGCGCTTCTGTCTGGACGTTTAGCGACGCCCTCAAGCCCGCTGTGCCCGAGGTCGGGTCCACAGTGATCCAGGTGCAGCGCGGTCTGAATCTGGTGCGACATGCCGCGGCGTCTGCGGGTCTGTTTCCGGCCAGTCCGAGCGTGCCGCCGCCTACCGAGGGGACGCGGGAGGGTTACGAACTGAGTCGGTTGGCGTTGGCGCAGTCGACATTGGGACAGTTGACGCAGGCGATTGCCTCGGTGCGTAACCCGCTGGACCTCTGTGGCAACGATCGGCCGATGAAGTTGATTCTGCAGGGTGAGGGTGCTGAAGACCTGGGCGGGCCGTTTTTGGAGGCGGTGAGCGAGGCTATAGCGTTGTTTGAGGAGGTCTTCTTGACCCAGAACCCGAACGCGGAAGCGGAGATGGCATTGAACCAGGACATTAATATCGTGTTGCCTTGCTTGTCTGACTGCTTCGACGCGCATACCTTCTCCTGGCCCGGCGGATTACCGCAACGGCTCTGGGAGTCGCGCGCGAACCGGATCCGGATGCGTTTTACGGAGAAGGTGTATTCGACGCCGCCGGTGGTGAACTTGAGTGAGTTGATTACGTCCTTCAGCACCTTGCTGGAACAGAAGATGAACACGGAGCGGCAGCTGGCGATGTACTCGGTCCCCTTGTCTCAGATTGCGTTGCACGACGTGGACAGCGCCCGCATTTTATGCGGGCTGGGCATGCTATTGGCGGCGTGCTGTCAGAGCGGCAACCCGGTACACGTTTCGATGCACCCGGCCGTCTGGCGACTGATTGCGGGCGAGAACATTACGTGGATCGATTGTTTGGCTATCGAAACCTCGGAGCTGCTCAAAGTGGAGCAGTGGACCATGGCCATCAATCAGGCTGAGGGCGTCTTGCTCACGGGTTCCGGTGACCTCGAGGACCAGCGCGGCACGCTGTCATTACGGGCCAGCGTGGGCGACGTGACGCCATCTGTCCGGGCGGGCGCGTTCCGGAGTGCGACGCCACTCAAGTCGCTGCTGGAGAACGCCGCGTTCCCCTTCACCGGCAATGGGCCTGGCGAGGACTCGGTGCGGCCGCAGACGGGAGTGGATGAGGTGGTGGATTTGTGGGAAGGACTGTCTCTGGACTTTTGGGAGCTGGAGACGCAAAAGGGGAGCGAGTTGGTGCCCAGGTCGGTTGCCCAGGTCTTAACGGCGCTGTTCAACGTGCTGAAGTTCGTGCTCATGAGTCGACTGGAGTGTTACCAGAGCAAGGCCGGTTCGTCGGCACTAGCGGAACGCGGAAGCGAACGCGGAGGCGAACGTCGGGCGGTGAGTGTGGAGAAATATCTGCCGCCACGGTTGCAGGTTCTGATGTTCCCGGACGCTTCCGGAATGGTGCCGGTTGATCGAGTCTTCGGCAATGTGTGCGATCGCGAGATTATGTACTTGATGAAGCAGTTGCTGTCTTTGCACTTGGCCATAGAACGGCAGCGAAGGACCACCCGGCGGCTGGTCGCCTTGAGGTTCCTGAAGGCCGGCTTCCACCGAGTAATTCCCGCACTTCTAACTAAAACTTTTACGCGAGCACGCGACGTCGAGATTGCGACTTGCGGATATCCTGTAATCGACGTTGAGATCCTGAAGGAGCACGTGCGAGTAGAGTTCCCCGGAGATCAGCTGGACGAGACGGAAGCCCGGAGAATGGCGCAAGTTGTGCTCTGGCTGTTCGAAATTCTCGCTGACGCTGACCAGACCACTCGACGGCTGTTCATGCGGTTCGTGACGGGACTCTCCAGACTGCCTTTGGGCTGGATCGATCCCCGAGCCACTCAGTCTCACCCCCCTTGTTTGTTCTGCCGCATCCTTCGGCCCCATGAAATTCTGGAAAACGGAACAACCCTCACTCAATCGCAAGTTGACCAAAGATTACCCACCGCTACCACCTGCTTCCAAATTCTGAAGCTGCCACTATATTCGTCAAAAGAAGTTTTGAAAGATAGGCTCCTGACGGCGCTCATAACCTGTTGCGATATCGATCTCGATGGCGACGTGGATGATTAGATTTTTGTTGTGCAACTTCCTTATTCCATTTCTGTAACAACAGTTCAGGAGTAGCCCCCACCCAGCTGTCCCACGGGAGTGCCTGGGGTCTGCTCGGTAGCGAGGTAGATGATGTGGCCCTCGAGAGGCGGAGGCAGGGTCGAGTCTCGCTGGTTGCCGCGAGAAGAGTCTTTGAGTCGGTGAGGTGCTCCGTCATTGCTCCGTCGTGGTGTGGCCAAGCCTCTCGTGTGGCTGGTCGGGGAGAAGCGGGGTGAGTGGTGTTGAATGAGTCGTTGCGGATGACGACAATACAGACGAACCTCGCTTCATTTAAGAAGCACAAGGAGCTTACAAGATTGAAACGAACGCAAGAAACGCCTTGAAACGAACACACGAACCAAGGAACGACCTTGAAATATGGATTCGGACAAGTTGATGACCAAGAATTGAAGTTAGGGAGACGGAGCCACCGGAGAAGCGGTTAGCATCGAGCAGGAGCCTGATAGATCCGCCGAGGCCGCCGCCTTGGGTTTGAGTGACGAGGATCACATTACACATTGCACAGATGACGAATGGGGCACGTGTATACAAAGAAAACCGGGTTGAATCGCGATAGGGGAAGTCCCACGCACCGCGACGATCGAGAATCCTGGTCGCACCGAAGGAGTCACCAGTGGATGAAGATCAGGGAGGACGTAAGTAGTGGCGGAAAAGGTGGTGTGCCAGGGTGGACGATCGTAGCCGAGAGCAACCGCGGAGGCCGACAAGCCCCACACAGCATTCTCGTCAACCGAGGGGTCGTCCCCTCAGTTTGCCGCCCGTTTTGTCCCGGCCTAAACTTCTGCCACTTTTTAAGTGTCTGACCATGAAGAACTTACTCTGTGTGTGGTAGGGCGATAAAAGCTGGTAGACTGGTATCAGCCGTCGTCGGTGTTCCTGAAGGAACACCCGTCGGGACGACGAGCCACGTCGCCCGAGATGACGAAGTTCTGCCACGTCGCTCGAGGTGACGAAGTTCGGACGAAGAAGAGAAGCTTCTGGCGGCGGTGGGGAACTGGAAGATCATCGTCGAGGACGCCCGAGACACAGAATTCCGCCCGCGTCTTCGTCCACGGGCTCGGGCGAAGATAGGAGCTTCTGGCGGCGAGGGAGCCGTGGGAGATCATCATCGAGGACGCAAGCCCTTCGACGGGCGATACTCACGCCGAATGCCACTGATGGACTGGAGCAATTGTGCTGATGATGGCGGCGTAGTCAGAACAAGCGGGCGTTACACGGATGGTGGGAATTGGCCTTCCGTGGCATACGATCCTCCTACTGTCTGGGAGGGGATTGTCGCCACCTAAAGCGTACTCAGTGCTCGTACCAGTGCAACGACGAACACGAGCACGAAAAACTGCTGACGGGATGTCCGGAGGAATCCGTCTGGGGGAAGATTCGTAAGGTCCTGGATTGATTTCGGAACTGATTTAATTTTTTGACTACGAAACTGGTTTCTGAGAGCAGAGCTGTCAGCCACGAGTGGTAACGTCGTGTGCGCGTTGACGAATACTGCGTAGTTTTCGGCAGCACACGCGTGTGTAGTCCAAATATTGCGCTTCCCGCTGTCCGCATTGCAAGTTCGTTGCGTTGAGGTGAATTTACGGAGTGCACTACGGCGCGGAAAAGTCTTAAATCCCCACAGGGCAAGTCGGAGTGTGGGCCTGGTTGAGGAGGGGTGCAGACTGGAAAACACAATTGCGGAGTTGCCGGAGAGCGAGCCCGATAGATGAATTGGTTGAGGTTTTGGGCGGCGGCCGCGATTGGCAGGGCAGAGCCGGGAGGTTCGCCGTTGGAAGGGCCGATTCTCAAGATTTTGCGTACGGCGCTGGACTCGGTGACCAATTCATCTTCAAGCGAACCGACGACGGCGCCGGGGAACTTGCCGCGGGTAGCGTTTATGATGTTGGGACATGAGGCGAAGGGTTTGGTGGACCCGGAGTTGTGGCGGTACTGGAAGCAGGACGCAGACCGGGCTTTCCGTGAGGTATTTGGGGCAGAGTCGGCTCCAGTGGATTTTTACATGCATCTGTCCCCAGTGAACGCGACGTGGCCGGAGTCTCGGATTCCGGACTTTATTGAGGAGGTGAAGCCTCGGGTGAACTGTCGTTGGGGCAATTTATTGCCCTGTGAGTCTCAGGCGCTTAATTACGCGGTGCGAAAAAGTCCGGCAAAATGGTTCGTTCTTTTGAGTGGGGACACATACCCGTTGTCGTCGTTTGTGGATTTGTACATAGATGTGCTGAAGAACCCGCGGTCGCGTTTTTCGATCGTGGTTCCGGACATGGGGAATAATTGTCCGAAGCACTGGCAATGGATGTTGCTGAATCGAAAGCACGCGAAGATTTTGCAGCATTTGAAGACGCAGTGGCGAGACAACAGCACGTGGTATTCGATCCGTAAGAACAGCACGGTCTCGCTGGAGCAAGTTAAGCACTTGGAGCGAGTGGCGTTGACAGCCGCGGCGAAGTTGCGAAAGACACGCGCGAGGGTCGCGGACAAGATTGAGGAGGTGGCTGACTTTTCCGAGCCGGCTTGGCTGGGTCCTATGCGGGTGCCGGGTGAGCGACCGGGAACCGAGCGGCACTTGTTGAGTGGGTATGAAGGGACCCGGCAGACGGTAAGTGCCTCGGACGAGTGGGTGCCGTTGTGCACGATCAAAAACTTTTACGAACAAATGGGCTGGAGCCTAAGTCTGCTTGCCAGCGAGATCAACGACGAGAACGACACATGGCCGCTATCAAAGACCAAGGGCACCTTTATCGACATTTGCTGGGAGAAGTGCATGGAGCTGGGCAAGTGCGAGAACAGCAGACGGCCCTGCGTCTGGACCGGGATCAAACAAAGCACCTGGGACACCATCAAGCAGAGCGGCAGCTGGTTCATCCGCAAGATGAACCCGGCCTGCAAGATCCTCGTGAAAGACGAGTCCGACGAGGACTACACGGCTTCGGGGTACTGTAGAGAGAAGGTCATCGAGGAAATAGCCAAGAAACAGGACCCCAAGCAGATAGCGCGAATACTCTCCTTGTAGTCAATCCTTGAGCTGTTTGCGTCAGTCCTGTGGTCAGTGGTATGCGGGTCTGCTTGGAAACGGGGTAGAAAAAATGAGGGGCGTTTTTTGATGGAATGGGTGGTGGTGGAGTCAACGTTGCCAATCGCGTACATCGCCCTGTGTGTTGCGGTGGTGAACTTCGGGGCGGTTGCGCCTCGGCAGGATCGTGACGTGGTTGCGTTGGACGAGCCGTGGCTGCCGGATCTGGAGCAGTCGGGTCCGACGGCGTCTGCGAACATTTCGTTAGGTTCTGTGGTGGGGTCCGAGGTTGAGGAGGGACGCGTGGCGGTGATTCCGGTACTGACGGCCGAAGAGGACTCGGTGGCGGGTAATGGGTCGAGTAGCGCACCTTCCGCCTCCGGGTCGGGAGCCCCGTCTGGGTCCCGACCTGGTGACGACGCCGGGAGTCCGGGTAAGCATTTGATTTGCGTGACCAAGACGCCTGTGACGGAGTTCCGCCAAGTCACATGCGGGGCCATGACGCTAATCGCGCTGACTTGCGGGTTAGCGTTGACCATTGGCTGTGCGCGCTACGGGAATAGCCCAGCCGCGGCGTTGTTGAGGCTGCAGACCTACGGACTCATCGGCATCTCCGTGGCTGGCTGTTGCTGTCTACAGTTCTACCGGTCAGAGTGCTTCAAACCCAGCCTGCCCCGCGCGACGGGCTATCTGCACAGCTGGAGACGGAGTCAGAGAGAGAGTCGGAGCAAGGAAAGGGTCATGATTGGCTTTTGGATTATTGCCATTTTGGTGTACGCGCTACGACTGAACACGTCTTTGCTACATGCAGGAGTTTCACAACATGCCCGGATGTGGTCCTTCGGATCACCGATTGACGGCTTTCGAATGAGTACGAATGGAGCGGATGTTAGCCCGGCGAATTTGAGTGGAGCAAATTTGAGTGGAGTGGATGGGAACGGAATGGGGGTCAGTGATGGCGGTTTCTTGCTGTGGAGATTGGAGGCGATAGTTGATTTAGTGTGTTTTGTGATTTCTGTGGTCGGTTTAATTTCGTTTTTGAAGCCGAATCGGCCGCGTGAGGACGTGGATGGTGTTTTAGCACACGTGTTCGATGACGGCACAGGCTACATCCGGCCGGCTACGAGGAAGCCGGAGACGCCGGAATTGACTAGCGGTTTCATGCAGCTTATTACCTTCTCGTGGATGAACCCGCTGTTCAGTAAGAATCGGTCCCTGGTGCCGGATGACCTGTATCGGCTGAGGGAATTTGATCGAGGGTACGCCGTCTATGCGCGTATGCAGTGCATTTGGGAGCGGGGACGTGTGGATGACTCGCTGCGGCTGGCTAAATGTCTGCTTCGTTTCGTCATGCCCCATTACATGTATGCAGGCATCTTGAAGTTGGCGAATGATTCATTGACGCTATTGGACATCCAGCTGCTCAATTTGGTTGTCATTTACATGACCGCGGTAGACAAGAACATGACCGCGGTCGACTCCGCGGGGGTAGATGAGACGGGTACTAATGGCTTATGGTTGGGTGGTCTGTTGGTGGTTTTGATGGGAGTGAATTCGTTGGTGGAGACGGCTTTAAGTCAGCAATACTTTAACCGGATGATGATTTGTGTCTTGCGAATTAGATCTGCAGTGGGTACGGCAGTGTATGTAAAAAGTTTAAAGGTTGATCCTGGTCAACTTTCGGGTGGTCAATCAAAGGAATTTACGTCGGGTAAGACAATTAATTTGTTGTCTACAGACGCGCAACGGATCGGAAATATAATGCGAAACATCCAAGTGTTGTGGTTCTCACCGTACCAAATCGTAATAATCAGTTTCATGCTTTACAAGGAGTTGCGATACGCGGCCTTTGGCGGTATTGTGGTGATGTTGTCCTGCATGCCGATCACTAGCGCGATTACAAAGCGGACGAGACGTCTGCAGAAGGCCGTAATGGAACTAAAGGATGAGCGTCTGCGCGCGACCACGGAGGCCGTCCAAGGCATCAAGGCTATAAAGGTCTACTCCTGGGAAAGACCGATCATCGATTTGATAACAGCAATCCGGCGCAAAGAGCTTAATGCCCTGTTGAAAACTCAACTCAACTTACTCTTGGCTCGTTTCGTCCTAGCACTCATACCAGTCCTCGTCGCCGTCGTCAGCTTTGGGTTTTACGTAGTCGTCCTCGCACAACCACTCACACCTGCTGTTGCATTTACCTCCCTCGCCCTCTTCAACAAACTCCGTGGACCACTCATGCAACTCCCCAACGTCATCATGTCCCTTGCCGAAACCATGGTCTCCGTCAACCGAGTCCAGGACTTCCTCAACCTCCCCGAATTACCCAAAAAGCAAGACTTGCCCTGCCAATCCACTCCACGCTGCATCCATCACACTCCACCCGTGTTTGTACACGCCAACCAAGTCACCGTTACCTTCGACGCAGAGCCACAATACAGCGGCTCCGAACCTGCCGGCTCCGACTACGTGGGCTCTGACCGTGCGGGCGGCAACGCCCCAGCCGCTAGTTCTCACGGTACTAGTTTTCACGCCGACAACTTCCACAGTGATACTCCCAACGGCACGGGAAACAGCACGACCCATCCGAATGGCGACCACGGAACCGAGACTCCACTCCTACTGGACTTCAAAGAACAGGGTAAGTCGCCCTTGAACAATCATGAGAAGGGAATTGTCGAGAACAGAATCATCGAGACCACGGGTGAAGAGACCACGAGTTCTGTCTTGTTCAAGGACGTTTCGATGGAGGTTCGCAAGGGCGAGTTGCTAGCATTGGTGGGTCGCACGGGTTGTGGTAAGTCGGTGTTGTTGGAGGTGTTGGCTTCTGAGTTTCATTGCGGGCGGAAGGGTGAGGTGGATGTGCGTGGTCGTGTGGCGATATGCACGCAGACTGCTTGGATCCGATCAGGTAGTGTGCGTGACAACATTATAATGGGTCATGGATTCGAATCCGGACGATATCAGAAAGTGGTGAAGGCGTGTGCTTTGGAGGCGGACTTTGCGATTTTGGCGGATGGCGATTTGACTGAGATCGGTGAACGCGGTGTCAACTTGTCGGGAGGGCAGAAGCAACGCATAGCGTTAGCTCGTGCAGTGTACTTCGATGCCGACGTGTATCTTCTGGACGACGTATTGAGTGCTGTGGACACACACGTTGCCGCACATATTTACAAACATGTGTTGCGCGGTCTGCTGCGGCATAAGGCGGTGGTGATGGCGACGCATCGGTTTGAGTGCCTGCACAGTGCGACCCAAATCTACTTATTGCGTCCGGGGCAGCTTCCGCGTGTATTCTCTAGCCTGGCCGAGGCCTATACGGACGCAGACTTCAGCCAGCTCGCCAACTCCGACGCCCAACAGTCGCCCCGAAATGTCAACGGGTCGGAGTGGGGTTCACCCACCGATTCGGAGTTAGGTGGTGGTGGTGGTGGCAAGGTGAGAGGCGGCAGACTGGGCAGTGGTAGGCTGGGCAAGGACTCTCCGCGCCAGCCGTACCGGAGCTGGGATTTCGGATACGTGGGAGCGGGCCCAGAAGGAGCACTTAACGGGCCCGGATTGCTAAGCAAACTCGTCGTGTCCGCGCCCCTGGCATACGGTCTGGTGGAGACAGCCGCTCCTGTAGCCTCCATGGTCACCACTACCTCTTCGGTCCCCATGGACGAGATGACCTTCGACGAGATGACCGTCGACGAGTCCAACGGGCTCCAGACTGTGGACTCACAGGTCCTCAACGGCGCCGCGGTGAGCGAGTTTGGTCATGGAGACAATTTATCGAAGGAGAAACGGGACGGCAAGAAGCGGGGTAAGCCGCAGACGTTGGTGGAACGGGAGATGATGGGCGAGGGACAGGTGGGCAAGGAGGTGTATCTTTGCTACATCCAAGCCGGCGGTGGCGTGGTGGTTATGGCGTTACTGGTCTTCCTGCTGGTGTCAACCTACGGCGTGTCAGTGGGTTCAACCTTCTGGCTCTCGTACTGGTCGGATCATAGCGGGAAGGACATGACCGTTGCTCGCGGGTTGGGGACGTACGGGGCCTTCCAGGCGGCGCAGTTGGTGTTGTTGCTGTGGGTCCTGAGTGTGTTGATTTACGTCTCCCAAAGGGCCGCACGCGTGTTCCATACAAGGATGTTGTACCGTGTAATTCACGCGAAGGTACAGTTCTTCGAATCGAACCCGATCGGTCGGCTAAGCAACAAGTTCTCCAAAGACTTGTATACGATCGATGAGTCGCTGCCGAGCACACTCTATTCGTTTCTGTCACAGTTCGTGAACGTAATCGGTGTGTTCATGGCCATCGGAATCGTCATTCCGGAAATGGTCCTGGTTATTCTCCCCACGCTCACACTCTATATCATGATCGAGAGGATGTACGTGACGGTGGCGCGACAGTTCAAGCGCATAGACAGTATTTCGCGCTCGCCTGTGTTCACTCACTTCTCTGAAAGCCTCGATGGCGCCAAGACCATCCGGGTAATGAAGTGCGTGGACCAGTTCATTGGCCACCATCTCAAGTGGCTCGACGAGAGCATGAGCGCAATCTATATTTATACCGTGAGTAATCGCTGGCTCTCGATCCGATTAGAATGTGTGGGCACCATCATTGTCGTATGCGCTGGCTTGTTCTGCATCATGCTTAAATCCAGACTAACTGGCGGCAGCGCCGGCTTGGCGCTCAGCTACGCCATCAATGTAACCAGCTCCATCAACTCCCTGGTCCGACTTTCCGGTGACCGCGAGACGGACATCATTGCACTGGAAAGGACCATCGAATACGACCAAGACGAGAACTGCCCCCAAGAAGACTACGTGGGGAAACCCAGGAGTCGAAATACACCATCCGACGTCAATGTATCCGGTATCCAGACCAAGTCGTATATAGCGGTGGCGAGATCAGGGGAGGCGAAATCAGGTGAGTTAGCAACTGTGACCCGGTCGGGTGAGTTAGCAACTGTGACCCGGTCGGGTGAGTTAGCAACTGTGACCCGGTCGGGTGAGTTAGCAACTGTGACCCGGTCGGGTGAGTTAGCAACTGTGACCCAGTCGGGTGAGTTAGCAGCTGTGACCCAGTCGAACCGAGTCATGTCTCAACAGGCTTCTGGATCGACGAGTCTGGAGTTCAAGAATGTGTCTTTACGTTACCGTGTTGGACTTCCATTTGCACTTAAAAACGTTTCCTTTAGTATCACCCGCGGTGAAAAGGTTGGCATTGTTGGCAGGACTGGGGCGGGCAAGAGCTCGATACTGGTATGTTTGCTACGGTTGGTGGACGTTACGGAGGGTGAGATACTGATGAACAATCGCAACATTGACCGGCATGCTGTGGACAGACTGAGGATGGAATTGGCTATCATTCCGCAAGATCCGGTTGTCTTTACTGGCACTATCAAGAGTAACCTAGACCCGTTCAGGATGACAGACGCGGGAACCCTGTGGGAGGCGTTGGAAAAGGCGTGTTTGAAGACGTTCGTAGAGAGCCTACCTGGGCAGCTGGAGCATCCGGTATTTGAGAATGGACGAAACCTGTCGGTAGGCCAAAAGCAACTCTTATGTCTCGCAAGAGTCCTCATTAGAAAGACCAAAATTCTTTTGCTCGATGAAGCAACCAGTGCGGTCGACCCACAAACGGACGCTCTCATTCAACAGTGTTTAAGGACCGAGTTTAAGGATACCACAATTGTTACCATTGCACATCGACTCAAATCAGTCGTAGACTACGACCGAGTCATTGTCATGGACGCGGGCACCATCAAAGAACAAGGGAACCCAGAAACGCTTCTACAAGATCGTGCTTCCGAATTCTACACCATGTATAACCAGCACAATTAACTAGTGACCTGACTAACTAGTGACCTGACTAACTAGTGACCTAACTAACTAGTGACCTAACTAACTAGTGACCTGACTAACTGGTGACTTCCAGGGATGCTCTGCCTGACTCTAGTTACTGCCCACAGCGTAATTTTTTGAACATTTATCTGACCACAGCTAGCATGACCACCATTGATTGATCTGTCTAATCACGGCCCAATCGGGTAGGTGGTTGCAGTGAGGGGTAGGTGGTTGCAGTGAGGGGTAGTGAGGGTTGCAGTGAGTGATTATTTGTTAGTTGCAAAAAGTGATTGTCATCTTGATAAAATCGTCTACAGGTTGGTACCGCAATTTTTTAATGCCATGTGCTTCGTGGTCTGGCAAAGATCGTTTGGTTCGGATTTTGCCGAAAGTTTCCCAGTCCATGACGTTTGCGAGTCGTTGGATGAAACCGTTGTCTATGAGTTCTCCGTCGATGGTGGTTTGGATGTGTCCAAAAGACCGTTCCCAGCCATATCGGAAGTCCCAAATGCTCTGGTTCTGATAAATTTCCAGAACCCCCAGTTTGAGTTTGTAAGTGCTATGGGACCCGATGGCTGTAGGGTGGGCGCAGCATAGGCCGACTATGTAGTAGGCGTGCATCTCTGGTGCGTTCCGAAAGACGTCAGAGACCAATGCGGCACCGGTAAGGGCCACGTCTTCGTCCGACATGGTGGCGCACGGCGAGACCCGGAGATGCTCCGTCTCATTGCTCATGCTGCAAAATGACGCGACAGTGCACAACAAATGCTCGGCATCTCGCAGCGCCGCGTCATGGTTGTAGTAATGATCCGGCTCGATGTTAACCCAGTTAGACCAGCCCGTGTTCGTACCGATATGGGCAGCCATGTTATGCGTACTCATGTTATGCGTTATGTTCGAACTCGCGTGAAAGTTTATAGCCGTGTTCGGGTTTATGTTCTCGGCACCCAGTTCTCTCTGGCGGTAGGATTCGCTGCTGCAGGTGCTGTCTCGGCGTACGTAGTGGTGGTGCAGGGCCTCCATCAAGATGTGCTTTCGCGCCTCCGAGACCGGGGGCATGAAGGGCACCCGGAGGGCCGAGCAGCAGCGTTTGTGAACCAGATGCCAGACCTTGCAGCCAACGCCCGAACAGGCAGGCAGGTTCAGCGAAGCAGCCGACCGGATGGATCGTAGTTCGTTCCGCAGAGCAACCATGAAAAACAAACACACGTTCCCTCCACACGCGCGTCCCCTTAGCACGCGCGTTCCCTCAGCACGCGTTTATCAAGTCCGCCAATCCTTAGGGTAACTGTGGGCGGCGCTGGGGCTTGCTCGCTGGGGATGACTTATTTTGGGCTGGGTCACTGGGGCTTGCCTACTACAACCTTGCATGAACCATGATAGGGCTTACTGTTGGGGGAGGGGCTAGGCCTTGCTTACTACAACCGACGGGGGTCACCACGATGGGGTTCAACCTTACCTGATTGGGGGGGGGGGGGGGGGGTGGTTCTCCCGATGGTTGGGGTGGGCAAATTTTGGCGTAGTTAATTAGCGATGTCGTCGATAGCACGGAAGCGTTTGGCATTGGAGCGCGCTGAGTGGCGGGCGGACCACCCGGCGGGTTTTGCGGCACGGTATGCGCCGGCTGAAGAGGGGCAGGCGGCGGATCCGTTGAAGTGGGTTTGCAAAATCCCGGGGAAGAAAGGTGGCTATTGGGAGGGCGGTGAGTACACATTACTGATGGACTTTAGCGAGGACTACCCGTCGAAACCACCCAAGTGCCGGTTCACACCTGTCCTATTCCACCCTAACATCTACCCTAGTGGCACCGTTTGCCTATCCATCCTCAGTGAGGACGAGGACTGGAAACCCTCCATCACTATCAAACAAGTCCTCCTTGGTATTCAAGACCTTCTAGACCACCCTAATATCAATTCCCCCGCACAGTCAGAACCTTACACACTTTACCAACAAAACAGGCAAGAATACATCAAACGGGTCAAGGCACAAGCACTTGGTCTCCGACCAAAGGATTAACCCACCGACGATCGGACCTTAAGAATACCACCGTCAGGACCACCGTCAGGACCACCGTCAGGACCACCGTCAGGACCACCGTCAGGACCACTGTCAGGACCACTGTCAGGACCACTGTCAGGACCACTGTCAGGACCACTGTCAGGAGGGACCTCCAACGCCAGGATTATTGCTAAGACCAAAACTTCTACGACCGCCATGAATCCTGTGGGTGGCAGGCATCCCAATGTTATTTTCTGCAGTCAACCAAAATGCAAGCTGCCAATTGGGCCAGGCTTTATCACGACCGACCTGGGCAACGGTTTTCACAACCGAAGCGAACTTGGAGCTTGATACGTGATTTGATCCACTACATGTTGCCCGTGCGGACAAGCTTCATCAGCGACCTTCTGAAACAGGTTCTCCAGGCACCAGGGTGAGTGACCTCTCAGTGAGTGCACTCTATCTTGTGGTTAGTTTGGTTTGCGCGAATGAAAGCCCGGCGTGATGGTTGGTTGCATCTCCACAGTTGTTGACCTGGTCTGCCCATCATACCCCGCCAATTATAATTGGAGTGTTTCCTGCTTTGAAAAACACAACGCCACCAACCAACCCAGATGCTGGCGCGGCATCCCCCTAACGAACGTCCCTCGAGGACGAATGGACTCCCCCCGCTCCATCCTCCCCCCGCTCCATTCTCGACGTATGCGCACACAATGTTGTGGCACACACGATCGTGCAGCCTACCAAAATCGTGTGGGCTCAAGACAGCTATATGATGAGGTATGTCTGGTCTGCCTGCAGCACCCACTTGCTATGACTCACGACCTTCTCGGTCCGCAGCCATTTTTCTGCCGTGTCCGACGCGACGGAGCGGTGTGACTTGGTGAGCAACTCGAGTGCGCGTTGCCGGACTCGAGTCTCCGTCTCGTCGAACATGAACACCAGTGCGCTGGCATCCTCGTCCGCCTCCGCCAGACTCCAGAAGAGTGGAATCCGGTTGCTCGTCCACGCGCTGTTCATGGCGGCGTAGACAGACACCAGTCGCCGGAGCGTCTCCATTCTCACAAGCGACCCCTCCTCCGACTGGAGCTCCGCCCGGTAAAAGCTTGACGAGGCTGGCATCTTCCGCAGCACCTAATTTGGTAGAACGTGTGCCACTTTTCTTGCTGTGCGGGTTTTAGGTCCAAGTTACTGGCGTGAGGTTAAGGGAACCGCCATGGGCCTCTCACGCAGGTCACTGGTGACGAGTGTCAGAAATGTGTATCAGGGATGAGTGTCAGGGACAGGTTACTTGTTGTGTTGGTTGACTAAGGGGAGGGTTGGACGCCATTGGCGTGAGCGTTTCGGTACACGGGGCGGTGTCTACGTCTTCATTTAGACGTCCGCTTGGGAGAGTTGGCTCAACGTGGAGCAAGTCGCCTCGGAGGTGGAGTGGCAGCAGCAGGAGCGAACTAACGAACTCGTCGCGGATGACCGTCCGCGCCAGCACGACAGCAACCATTGCGGCGTCCGTTGCCGTCAGAGGCCAGCGCGCCACGCGGTCTTTGAGCAAACGTGCGTACTGCTGCCGGTCGTAAGGGCGACGTAGCTCCGCCTCAACCCAGGACCAGTCAAGACCGGGCAGACGCGGTGCCACCCGGGTCTGGACGTCGCCCGCCGTCTCCTCGGCGACCGTCTCGGCCGTACCGGCTGCGTTTGGGGTCGCCTGTACAGAGTCAGCCAAGAGTTTGATAGTAGACGAATTGGCGACTGTCGGATTGGCGACTGTCGAATTGGCCGCTGGCGAGTTAGCCGCCAAGTTGATTGCCGGAGCCACGGGTCGGGGGGGTGCAGGGTCGGAAGTGGTCGTGGTAGTGGTGGTGGTGGTGACAAGTTGGGCGGCCGGCGGCTTGACCGGAACGGCGTTGATCCAGGACTCGGCGGCCGGCTGCGGCTTATGCAGCGATTGCGTGCGCGACTTGTTCTTTTTCTCGCCCTTCTTCTGGCGCGCCATCCGAAATTAAATTGCCGAGAGAATGTCTCATGCAGCAGGGCTCGATGGCGCTCGGATCGGGGTTTAGCGCCGCCGCTGGCGCGAGGACTAGCGGCGGCACCTCAGAAGCCTACAACCCGCAAGTGTTTGTGCCACCGCACACTCAAGTGTTTGCGCCATCGCACACGCAAGTGTTTGCGCCATCGCACGCGCAAGCGTTCTCTGAGCCAGGGTTCACAAAGCAAGAATTAATAGAGCAAACGATCTCAGAGCGCGGGATCTTACAGCAAGGGTATACTGACGGCTCCGCAATTTTGGACGCCAGCCTTGGAAACTACCTGGTCAGCGGAGAACCGGCACCGCTCAGTTGGCAGGGCCACGCAACCCGGACCCTGGGCTCAGCAGGCGTCGAACCCGCGCCCGTTTGGATGAAAGGCGAGCCTGTGGAGGCACAGGCATGGGCAACAAGATGCGGTACCGTCGCCACAAATACCTTTGCCCGTTTGGGGGCTGTCGACGCCCCGGGAAGAGAACAGAACCGAGAGGAAGAAAGAGACAAATTATCGGATATGACCGCGGTGGATCAAGAGGGAGCGGACTACGGGGGAGTGAGCCACGAGGGATTGGGGCACAAGGGGGTGCACACCCCGTGGCAGGGTCACGAGCAGTATTCTGCCCGGCCCGAGCGGTCCGTCACGGGTGCAGTTCCCACTGCCAGATCCCCGCTGGATGAGATTGCGAGTGCTCTAGGTATGCGAGACGCGGAGCCGGGGTTGCTGGAGGCGATCTTGCCGTCGGAAGCAACTAGTGTGGGTTGGCAAGAGGGGGACCAATTGGGGGTGCGTTTTCTGCCGAAGTCCGCACCTACCGCGGGCTCTTCCGTCCCGTGCCCGTCGACGCCGAGTCTCCATGTCGCCGGCACAAGCGCGTGCGATGAACAGGGCATCGCGTGCGTCGCACACGTGTGCGGCGATGGGTATGGCTTCGATTTCTTGGCTGCGGGCGGCCGGACAGGACGGAACGGACGGCAGGTGAGTTTGGCGGACTACGTAAACATGAGGGAACAGTTGGTGGAGCAGGTCGTGGCCCTACAGACGGAAGTTGCGGAGAAAAACCAGCTCATCTTCCTTGAACGGCAGAAGCGGGCGACTGCGCTAACAGACGCGTACCGCAAGTACCGCTGCCAGAAAGATCGGACGACGCAAGATATTGAGGCCTTGCGCATGAAGCTCGAAGGCGCTGAACGCGAACGCAGTGGAATACTAACTGAGCTGGAAAGGGCCAGACAGTTATGCGCCTTTGCCCATCGTAATCATCCCCCCTCCCCACCAACCCTGACCGAGACAAACCCCCCACCGCTTGAAACCCCATCTTTACCTCTCC